GTTACAAAATTTAAATTTGATATTGCAAAAGTGATATTTGATATGTACAATTTTTAATCCATTTATGTGTATATTATTATAACTAGAGAAAAAAATGTAATAAAATATCTCTTATAAAAGCATTCACATATCATTAATTTTATTGTAATTGATATATAGCTTATTTTTAATCCACTTTACTTCATGTAACTAAAGTGAGATAGATGTTGAATGTTTATCTAAATAATGAAAATTTTAATTTGAAACAAATTAAGGATAAAGAAATGAAATTATTGTACATTTTCATATATCAAATAATAAATATTTCAACTTATTATTCATTACAACATCAATTTTTATTAGATTTGAAAATTTTAGATGCAGCATAACACTTAGTCCGACACTAAGCAATAACCAAACGCAATCATAGGAACCGCAAAGAATTATATAGGATACGATATCCAATAAGGAAATTCGATCCTAGTTAACGACATTTTTATCTTCAGGAGATAATTCTAATTAAAATCTAATTCTTCTATTGGATATTGAATGTCATCGGGTCGTACGTCAGATGTCGTATGCAGTAAATCCTACATGAAAGCTCGCGACCAGCGCTTGTGTCATTCACAAATCGCAATTGAAGAATTGGGGCAAAACGGATACTCTATTTTTTCCCATCCTACTTTGCCCCAATTGTTAATATCAATTGTTATTGAATAACTGATTTATATTTATAACTCACTATATTTTTAACTCACTTGATTTATAACAACAATTTAATGGTATTAAAATGAAGTTTAGATTATATTTAATTAATTTTAGAAATTTAGGATAGAAAGTACTGAATTTAATATGTAGATATTTATTTTCATGAAAATATATAAAGCGAATATTACGAATGGATATTGTGCATCACTATATTGTATGCTATCACATCAAAGACTCAAAAAATGGCATCTATCATCTGTAACGTGTTCTTCGGGACACAAAACATAATTCAATTTATCACAATTGAATATCGTAACAAGCAAAAAATGAGTATTCTGATTTACGATACTAGGGGAGTTTCGCTTTGCTCCAATCTCCCCTAATATCAAATGAAATATTCTATTTTCAACATATCGAGATATATGTATATTCTAGTATTGCAAGATATTATTTACACCTCATATCTTATTAATGTACTTATACAGAATTTACTCTCCTTTCTTTGCTGTATTAGAATTTTTTTCCTCTATATAGGTATAATATATAAAAATAGTTCATCTCTTTTGTATAAGAAAAATTGTATATACAAATAATTCCTCTTGCTATTTTGCATAAATATCACTTTAAAAAGAGTTACTAAAAATTTAGTATTATAAAGGTAAAGTTATTAAATATGTATGAAGAGAGAGGATATACTGTCTATTGTCAAAGAATCGTGTCACATGTCTATAGACGTTCCTAAGTGCACTATCTTCAAATTATGTTCCTGTCTTCACTTCTCGTGCAATATAGAATTTATTAAGTTATTTTAAAAATATTTATGAAGTTATTTTAAAAATAATAATTCTTTAAAAATTGTCGAAATTACTGATTAAAGTACTCATAACATACGTTACACAAACAAATTCATTACGAGTATTTTTTTAATTTGAACAAAGGATAAAAATGCATATCTTAAAATTGACATTTTTAATCGTTACATTTGTTGGGTGCTTTCGACCGTTATCGTGGACATCGCTATTTATGCGTATTATTTACAATCTCTACAGACTATTTATAATTACCATTTTATATATTTTTGCTTTTTTACAATTTACGGACATTATGATAAACGTCAATAATCCTGACGACTTTACTAATATTTTATATATGGCGTTAAATGTGTCCGTTTCTGGTTTTAAATTACTGATAATGTGGCTAAATTATAACAACGTTACAACATTAATTACTGTACTTAACGAGGAACCATTTAAACCATTAGATCTAAGCGAATTGAAAATTCGTGAAAAATTTGATAAAATAATACGGTAAATATTTATATATTTATACATATGTATTTATACATATGTATTTGTACCAACCTTTAAATAACAATTGTTTTCTTTTGAATATCAATTTCTAGGTTTAACACATTACGTTACTCAGTTTTGATTGCGTCATCATGGACATTCATGAGTTTGATGTCGTTGCTTACAGACTTTAAACACAGAAAATTAACGTATAGAGAATGGGTACCGTACGATTATTCGTCTTACATGATGTTTTGCGTTACGTATGTTCACCAAATTCTGAGCACGTTTTATTGTGCTAGCGTAAATGTCGCCTGCGATACTCTCATATGTGGTTTCTTAATGCATGTATATTGTCAAATTGAAATCTTGGAATATCGCTTGAAGAAGATTTTAAGTGATCAAAGCATTTTGGACTACTGCGTACGCCACCATAACAGTATATTTCAGTTAGTCATCTTAATAATATTTTTCAAAATCCGTTATAAGTAATTCAGGATTTCCGTGATATTAATATACATTGAAAAAATTGTATCACTTGAAAGATGTATTTAATATTTCCTCTTAACAAGTATATGAATATTTTCTCTTAAATTAATAATATAATATATTCTTGATTTGGACAGGCGATCGCTACACATGCACTTCGCACGGTTTTTGATGTCCTCTTTAAAAGCATGCAACTTTTGTCTGAAACATTTTTCTCTAAAATGTATTGTTCAAAAGAGATTTGAAATTATCATTTAAAATAGGATATTCTATACATTCTTATATTAAGAATATGATGATTTAGATGATTTTCCTGTTAAATTGAGAGGATCGTTTTGGCGCTTATTTTTTAGAGAAAAATATACTATACATAAGTGGGATATTCTTAAATTAAGAATACAATTTTTTCGGTGTATAATTTCATAACTTAATTACTGCATTAAGAGGAACAATGATATATATTAAATTTTCTTCTATGATCGTTAAAAAAATCACGCACACAAATTTTAAGTAATGATAATTAAATAGTGTAACTTATTCTTATTTTCCCTTTTATTTAAGTAATTCATATATTTATTTTTATTATGTTGTTAAAGTCCACAATCATTAATTTTTATGAACTATAATTACAATGTATAGATTTTTCAAAAGTTAATTCATGCTTTTTACAATTTTCATTATATTATTAAACTAAATATATTATTAAACTAAAAAACTTGATTGTACAGATTTGCGTGTTCCGTAAATGCAAAATTCTCGCATATAATCGGATTACAGTTTATAATAAGCACATTGATAATATGCTCTAATTTATATCAACTGAGCCAATCGTCATTGAACCCAGAGAGTATTGGGTTAATAGGATTCACGTGCTGCATGTTAACAGAAATATTTCTTTATTGCTGGTTTGGACACAAAATAAAATCAAAGGTATATCTGATTAACTAATTAAATGAAGAGAACTAATTAAAAACATTTTTTTGTATAAAAAATATTTTGTATATGAAATTGAATTAATCATCTCGTCATACATGTCACTATTATGTAAAAATTATATAAAATAACGTATTATTAAATAAAAATATTTTCAACAATAACATATGTCTAAAAGTATTTAGAAACAATATTTTATTTATATAATCAAAATGCTCAACGTTAAACAAATATTATTTTGTGTATTAATTTATAGAGCGTTCAAGTGGCAGATAGCATTTTCCAAATAAAGTGGCCATTGTTGAATAATAACGTTAAAACTAATCTCCTAATAATTATGAAACGCGCTACAGTACCTATTGAATTTACTACTGCGCATATCATTAGTTTGAATTTGGACTCTTTTGTGACGGTAAGTTTATTAATTTTATATAGTATCTATTGTTGACTATGAATGAAGCATTACTAAAATTTTTATTACGTTTATTACTATTTTAGTTGCTCAAAACATCGTACTCCGCTTATAGTTTGTTAGTACAAGTACAGGAAAAGTAATACAAATGTAATGTGTTCTGGCAATTGCAATATAATTGCAATATGTATTTATATATATATATATATATAT